GAACCTCAATCCTAGTGTCATATCTGTTATTCTCTTCTATCATCTGCTTTATAAGTTTTGTATTTTTGGTCTCAACTTTAGCAACTTTCTTTCTAAGCTTGTGAATCTTAATAACTCTGGTTTCGAATTTAACAAGCTTCTTTCTAAGTTCAGGAATCTTAGAATTCTTGGCCTCAAGTTCAGCTTTCTCAGCCTCAAGCTTAGTAATGCATTGTCTCAATAAGTCTATTTCTGATTGTATAGTCTATATTGTATTATTAATATTTTTATAATCTGTATATTAGTATTCAAAATTAGAAAAATACTGTTATTTTGGCTGATTGTTAACTTGGTTAATAGTTTTTGCCAAGAAAATTTTATTAATATATGTCTGTATGAAAAATTTCATACTTCTAAAAATTTTCGATCATATGTGAATAATATATATCGATAATAATACAAAAAATAAATTTATAAAATATACATGCAAAAGTAAATGCGATTATATGTGCAAAATCAGCCACCTAGGCCAGCTTTATTAATATGATAAAAAAAATAAAAAATATATACAATAGATAAAACAACAATAAAAAATAAACTATATACAATGAATTAAACAAATTTATAGTAAGAGGGAGAAGATATAAGGTTCGTTATGCAATCTATCAAAAACCACATTGATCAAATATTTGGGCAATCGGTCTACATCTGTCACAATGATAGGATATGTAGGTAGTTGTTCCAATGGTTTCAATAGTTCTGATAGCTCTGGTAGTTTTGCGATTTCTAGTACTGTAGTTATTGTGCTAGGTGTAAAATTACCCATAGTCGGGCCTACTACAATACTAATAGTTTCTTTTGGTTGCTTGGTTCTAGTAAGTACTCCAAGCAACTCATCAATAACTGAGCAACCTGTAAATATAGTTAATATTAATAATTGAATTTTTTAACCTAAATATCTGATTTAATATAATAATATCTATATTGGTTTTGACCCAATTTTTGTATTAAATTATGAATTAGGTCTTAGCAATTTCATATATGATATCAATGCTCCTATCACCTGATCTCCTAAATTTAAAAAAAATGTAAGTACTTGCATCTTTATTATTAACTAATCAAAAAAGTTGCACAGACAGAATATTCTATGTCAATACTTTTGATGTTAGAGTGTATTCTATTCATCTTGAATTTTTAGTTGTCTAGGCAAGCTTGAGAATACTGGAAACTAGAAAGAAAAAATGTTCATTGCTAAAAACGGTGGCTATGATGTGTTTTCAATTTCTTACTAGATATTTACACCGATGTAATAGTATAAACTTTGGATATACAACAACTTGACAAATAACTCAGCGAGAAACTCACACTCTATGGATTACTTTAGCATCAATACTCCTTAGCACTTTGACAATATCTACTTCGAATTTCAATCCCCTTATATGGAGGATTCTACAATTAATACTGCAAGAGCAAGTCTCTTCTTCACTATGGAAAGATTCGTCAATTTCAAAAATCATTGTTTAAAAAAAATATATTAATCAAAAGTGATGAAAAAATAAAACAAAATCACTAAAAAGTGATAAATAACAATATCTTCACTATAATGCTCTTTATAAATAAGTTTTACTCTTCTTTGAATAGTAGTATAAAGGGGAAGACAACAAAGAAAAAAAGCCTTATATGCACTTTATACTAATCTTTACACTTGACATTATATTACGTTTGTCATAGAGTACCCCAAATATACAAAATATACATTGGAGATCTTGACATCTTTGGCATTACGGCATAGAGAAAGATCGCTAAGTATTATATTTCACTTGATCACCTAGAAGAGCTTTTAATTAAACTAAAGCTGTTAAACTAAAGTTATAAAAAAAAATACATATGTGTTTTGGTTAGAATGAATAAGTTTTTATATTGGCTTTGAAGTGGATCTAAAGCTTGGTATTATTTTTTCTATGTAAAAATTCATATAAAGATTTGGTTGCACAGATAATATATATGTCATGAGATTATTGTCCAAATTTGGGTTGGGGTACTATTTCGAGAAAAAATACTTTGTACATACTTTATACATAATGATAAGCTTTGTAAAAATAAGTACAAATAAATATGTATGTGAAATTTATTCTAATACATTAATGATATCCAAAAAACCATTGATGCATATTTCTAGCTAAGCACTGCCCAGAGTTACTATAATACAAGAGCTGCTACCAAAGATATTATCTTTAGTTGCCAATATAGTAGCCCCTACTGTATTTAAACCCAAAAGATATATAATTTATTCGAGAATTTTCACATTCATATTCCTTATATATTCCATTTGCTACTTTTTTACATGTTTTATATTCTTCCATATATTTGGAATATTGCCTCATAGAAATGTAACTTGTGAAAAAGAATTGGTTTGAACTTGCTAGAAATAAACAAGATGTGATATGATACAGATAAGTATATATACATCAGATATTTTAATGCATTTAAGACAATATCCTACCTTGAAATGCTGTATCATTTTTCTATTCAGCTTCTGTATGCATTCTTTGAAGCTTATTATTTAATGCTAAGATAGTTTTTTTGAGATTAGTATCTTCTGATCTCTTTAGATATTTATAAAAAAAGATAATAGCAATAGCAAAGATTATATATATAGTTATATTCCCCAAAAAAATACTCTAGATTATATCCATTGTTAGGACACTATGGACTACCATCTTAAAAAATGTAATTATAATGCTGAAGAGTGCGAACAAAGAAATATCAGAATTTTGGATCATTGTATTAGATTAATTTTTATTATCTTAAAACTATATAAAAATGATATTTTATTTTTGTTACTTATAGGAGAGTGAAAATACTATTTCACTTGTAAGAGAGTGAAAATACTATTTTTTTTTCACTTGTAGAAAAGCAAAAATAATATTTTATTTTTTCACTTGCAGAGGAAAAAATATTAGGATGCTTCTTTAGAAATACTCTCTTTATATGTTTTACAATGCAGAGCAAAAATATATATACTAGTATAAATCCACTCTAAAACAAAGGCATTGAATAATTGCATGAGAGGAGATAGCGATCATTATCTGCTATATATGAAAATAATATCATATCTATACCCGATTATACTCTATTTCTGAAAAAGAAAATATTAAGATTGAGACGAAAAAAGTTAGTATATTTCCACACCTCTCATACCTCATAGCATATTTAAACAATAAATAATATTTTTTAAAAAAAATACTTAGCTATAAGGTGCTTCGCAAAAATATTTTATTAATAAAATTTTACTAATACTATTATACTATTAAAGGTACAGTACAATCTTACAAAGAATAAGAATAAACTACATTCTAGAATATATTTATAAGTTAATATACTTAACTAAGTCCTGTTCTGGTATATTAATAATGGTTTACTTCATTCTAACTCTCAACTTTCTTTCATATAATGCAGTTTGGTTTAAAAAACCTTGAGAATCATAGATATTTGCAGATCATATTGAATAGTTAAGTGGAGGAAAAAGGTAGAGTATTTATAAAAATTTTAAACAGACTCACATGAATTTTTTGTGAAAAATTAGCTATTTTAGGAATAAAATTATTAGAAGCATTGGCGTACCAGATCTGTAGATTGAGCTTCATATGCATGTTTTTAAAATAGAGTTATGTTAATAAAATATACTACTCCAGGTTAGATTAGTATATCACTTATCTCTATGCTTGTAAAGAAAAAGACAGATCTGTGAAAATTGTCCTTCTTCATTCCATAATATCACGATTCAAAAACATCTTTGACTATGTAAATCAGGAGAACCTTTTTGTTAATAATTCATCTTGTATAATAAATATACCAGAACCTTCAAGTAAAAAATTTGCCAGAACTTTCAAGTAAAAAATATATAATACACTCTCGGCCAGATTATAATGTGTTAAAAATAATATTATATATTTAGTATACTTACTATGGAGAAGTATAGATGATATATTTACTACACATGATATATTTTCTGTGTCTTCCACCTAAGCTATCCACATGATTTGAAAAAAAAAATATACAAATTCGCTCAATAATTTTTCTAGAAGTTATCAGAAAGATAATAGGACTCATTATTGATAAGACTTAAAAATTTTTATATTAAATATATTACTTTATTATTACAATGACAAGTAATACTAATAATATTTCTGATCAAAGTAAAATGTTTGATCAATTTTATAAAGTGCTTTTATATAAGAAGAAGGATATAGTAGCCATTCAGAAAAAACTTGGTATTAGTGGCAATACAAATCAAATAACAAACATCGAAGCGAGAAGACAAAAAACACTTGCCAATTCATATGAGTTATTGTTAAAAATGGTGAAGATTTAATACTGATACAGAAAAATCTCAACATTGATAGCAATCCTGTTTTAGCAGTGGAGTACTAAAGCAATAAAGCTCACGAAGCTTTTATGAATATTTCATATAGGAAAATATTTAATTTGCTTTTATATTTATAAGAGGATATAGTAGTAATTCAGAAAGAACTTTGTGTTGTCAGTTATACTAATCAAGAAATAGTAGAAGAAGCTGATAAAATTATAAAAGCATATTTTTGAAAGTTTGAGGAATTTCATGGCTCCCTAGAAGATATTCCAAGTATATTAATACAGAAATTCATTAACAGGGGAGTAAAAATGTTTTATTTTACCAAATATAGGCATCTATTATTTTTGAAGCTTTCTCTTCAACAATTGCACAAAGTTTTTGTAAAAAATTTAGCTAATACTGATCAATGCCCATGTTTAAAACAAGTTAGCTAATCTATATTCTTTTTATCATACAGAAGTATATATATTGTAGATTAGCAAAAAATCTTCTGAGTTGTCTCAAGTTTATTAGCATTTTGATAATATCATTCTTGAGCATGTTTCATTAATGTACTATCTGGTTGATAAAGCCATTTCTTCACTGCATGCTGAATTATTATAGCTGAATTTATTTGTTTTTCTATAAACAATATACTCGTTGGATAATAATTACTGCTGAATTTATTCATTTTTTCTATAAATGGTATGCTCATTAGATAATAATCACTAATTGATTTTTTATATACAAAGTTTTAAAATTTGCTACTTGAGTTTTAAACTCTCTAAATTTAAAGTTATTGGCTATAGATTCATTTTTGGTTAAATTATTTTTAATACAAAATACAAAATTTTCTCAATAATCCTTACTATTTATTTTATATCCTGGTATTAATAAACATTTACGTATATATTTGGACAGATAATACTTCACAAATCATAACCAAGCTTCTGGTGTTTTTAGGCTATTGATATAGTTTAAACCATATTCAGTTAACATGTATTGGGTATAATTATTTTTTGTCTATTCCTTAAAAATATCTTGAATATTGAACATGTTTATGTGAATTTTATTAACTAAGACTTTTTATTTAATATGTGCTTCCATATTTTTATTGTTAAGTGACCCACAATTTTCAAAACTTAGCCATTGCAAATTTGGATATCAATAACAATACAATAAATAAAGGTGGCTGCTATACATACCCCCAAATTTGCTATTCGTACCTTCCTATAAATTAAATTTTTTTAAAATTTGAGCGAAGATATCTCAATAAACTTCAAGCCAAATTTAATGAACATTTTTTTATTTCAATTCTATGGATTCATAAAATTCAAAGAAAAAAAAGTTTAATAAATTTGGCTTTGTGATTGTCAAGATATCTTTGCACAAAGTTTTAAAAAATTCAAAACGTCT